AAAGGGCATGTCAGGAGGGGAAGCATGACAACAAGCCTCCTGGCTGCTGCTTCTCCTGTTCCTCCCTTCCCCTGAGTGGTGCCTGGAAGAACCTTGGAGTCTTGGTTTTTAGACCTGTTCCTAGGGTTATTTGGGGTGCTGATTCAGACAATTGCACTGGATAGACCACATCAGCTCTAGATTATGAAATATGGTTTTCTTTGGGTGAGCAGATGGTGATTACTGGATGGCATATGTTCTGTATCAGAAACTGGAGCTGATGTGGTCTATCCAATGCAATTTTCTGAATTAGCGCCCCAAATAACTAAACCGAATCTAAAGTTGACCAAAAATTGATTCGTAACGCTTTTGGTACTAATGTTGGAGAGTGAGTGGTCCCTAGTCAAAAAATGCTTGGGAACCACTGCCACACCACCACCAATGATGGACCTGGATCATCCAGAGAAACTGTGACCACTACCGATGGCAGATCTCAACCAAACTTGGCACACCGGACCCCCATGACCAACTGAACCTACTGGAGGGATTTGAGGGGACTGAGTCACCATAGTGGGAGTTGTAGTTCATCCTGTAGCCGGAGCGCACACTGAACCCCACCTCCCCAGTACTGATCAAGGTTGAAGGGGTTAACCTGGCATGATGTGAGTTGTAACTCACCCACAACCTTATGCACACAACCTTTTGTTTTTCACTAGCTGAGTACCCAAGCTAGTGGAAAACAAACAAACAAAATCTCAGAAGAATTAATGCAGTTTGACTCCTCTTAAACAGCCATGGGATCATGGGAGTTGTAGTTTGGCGAGGCTCCCGCACGCTTTGGCAGGGTCACGCCAAGTGGGTCCTACCCCCTTGTTCCACTAGCTGGGTACCCAAACAAACAAAACAAAAGAACAAAACAAGGAAGGAACCCAACTTAGAAAGAAGGCACTCACAGTCAGCCAAGGAGACGCCCCCGAATCCATCCACCTTGGCTTCATACAGCATGTGGGCCAAATGGCATGCCGAGAAAACCTTGCTTTCGTTCCCTCCAAGGAGGAGAA